AGGCCAAAAGTCTGATTCTTGATGTCCATGTAAACATAGAGTGCCCATATGCTGATTCACAAATAAATGGATTTTGAATGAACCATCAAACAATGCTATCTTCTGGATAATTAATGTAAAAAATTACAAGATGACTGATCTACATAGACTGTTTTCACAGATCTTATCTGCCACTAACCTTGTGCTTGTGGAGGCCATAAGCCAGTACAGCCCCTGTACCAGCGAGCAGTCCTGCCAGGCCATGTCTCCAGCTGGGACTGTGGGCATGCTGGTACGATCTCTGGTCGTCACCGCTGCTGTTGCTCCAGAGCCGAACCGCGCAGGATGCCACAGCAGGTGCCACCGGATGTCTGTGATAATGAAAACAACTGAAGGAATTTTTTATGCCGATCAAACTCATTAGATGGTGAGTATGTGTCTATTGATAGAAATTCAATAAGATTAGTATGTTCACAAAAAAGGACACAAACATAAAAACTGGATAAATATAAAAGTCAGACTATTGTTAACAGCTGGATTATCCTTCATCATATGCGTATTTTGTTCCATTGCTGTACCTTTGAGTGCTGACAGGGCCAAATCGAGTCAGGCTGTGGCAGCGTCTGAGAAGCAGCATTGCATTGATCTTCTGGAGTTGAGGAAAAATGGTAATTTCAGTGTTGCAACAAACAGCACCTTACAATAAAGTTCTTTTTTAATGAACAAGTTACTGAATTTCAGCTCATTTTGCAATACAATATGACATCTGATGGCTTAAAGAGGAATAAGCTCATAGAAATGACTGACATTCAAGAAAAGTCAAAGGATGACTAAAACAGTTTTTTCTTGCTCATCCAGTCAATATGCCTGAAGTTCCGATTCATCTCTTAACCCTGTGAGCAGGGCCTGGTCCCCTGCAGGTTGGAAGTCTAAGGTCAAGAGCAAACAAATGTTTGCTAATGTGGCTAATCTTTACAGCTAATCTTTATTTTCCATCCAGATTTACATAACTGTTCCTGTTAACCTCCAGCAGCATCAACATGCCTTACATGTGTTTAACATGAGACTGTGCAGTGAGTCAGAGTTAAAGAGGCTGCGACCATCCCTCTGAAAGCCGGACTCATGAGTGAGGATCTAACAAAGCAGAGCACTGTTTTTCCCAGCATGTGATGTAGTTAAAACATGAACCTTTAAACCCTTCTACTCCTCCTCACCCGGCCAACCAGCAGTTACTTCAACCAGCGAGAGGAGCCAACCCGGTGAGGGGGAGTGAACACACAGAGGAGAGCTGGGCTTTATCCCCCTCCTCCCTCACCACACACATTAATGTGTAACACTATTATGGTAAACATGGACACACTGTCCAGCATCCTGTTAAGAAACAAAATATTACTTTTTAATGAGAAATGTCATTAAAAAAGAATGTGTCTTCTTCTGTTGACGATACCCTGACATTTCCACATCAAGAAAATAAGTTATGACTCAGGTAGGGCTGACCCAAAACCTTGGAAGCTTTGGCTGTTGCAATGTAATTAGTATATAAAGAGTGATGATGCGTTTCCACGTCCTCCCACTACCCAGAAATGAAGCAAGAATTTCCCGGATAGGAGCACTGCCATGTTAAGCATTTATAGCCAGTCTGTGCAGTAGCGATCAGAGGATGGAGCGATACATACACTCAACCAATCATGAGTCCATCTCAGCTGTCAATCATGATGTTTCAACCCATTATTGTTGCAAACAACTAAAACCAAACTTATAATGAATAAGTCGAGTGCCAGATATGCCAATGAAAACACAGCAAAACAACAGTTTGGCACGTTACCTGCAAACTCTATGTAACAGCTGACTCATCTTGCAGGCAGCTGCCAAATGTTTTTTTCTACTTTATCTGATGTGAGTGCTGCCTGCATGCTGGCAACATGACCATGTTTATGTGGACCCTTTGAACTATTTTTGACCCTTTACGGACAAACTATTTATCATGAAAATAATCAGCAGATTTATCTGTGATAAATAAAAAACTTTTGCAGCCCAACACTTTTATTTAATTATATTTTAGGCCTTTTATGTCTGTGTTTACAGAAATCTGCAATTCCCTAACCTGACTTGAACCGTCACATCATCTTTTCTGTCATTTGTGTGACTGTGTCCCGCTGATAAAGGCTGCAGCTCGTCAAGCGGAAGGCGGAGCAGCATTTTTTGGATGTTTTCATGCACATATTGTGGATAGCCCTGGTATCTTTGACAGGTGATTATCTACAGCCACAAATGTGCCCGTCAAGCTTACCTTGAGCTTCTGCCAATCTATTAGTTATGATGAATTTTGCAAACATTATCTGCATGTTACAAAATTAGTTAAAAGTCTTATCTCCCTGAAGGTTACAGAGAAGCTGGGTCTCTGTGTGAGATCAGCAGATTGAGGCAGGCTTGTTATCACTAGAGTGTCATTTAATGAGAAATGTTGTGAAGATTAGCTGTAAAAGTAATTTTTCATCCAGATTTTTTCTCTCTTTATGCAAATATGATATGTTAACTGTCAGTTTGAAGGAATGATGCTAACTCTTCTTCGTCCAGGAGGCAAGTGAATGTCGTTCAGTGTCAGTTCACTTTTATGAGTTGTATTTCTGCCTTAAAGATATTTGAACTTGTAAAAAGGACTGGAATGTTGCAATTTACTGTCAACTAATGTTGACTGCATAGACAGAATTATATATTCACAAATGTGCCAGGGGGGTGGGGTCCCTTGCCCCAGCTGAAATCTGATTGGTCCCTGAAGTGCCAAGTTAATTAGTGAAATAAATTAGTCTCTAAGAAACAATACTTAAAATAGTTATGACCATTTACAAAAAGAAAATTCGATGCTTTTTTAAAGTAAACAATTTGCTTGAACAACGAACAACTATCAAAATATATGAATTGAGGTGCGTTTTAGCTCAAAGCTCTGCAGCGAACAGTGAACAGGAATGACTTCAGCGTGCTCTTACTGAATCAGGACCTGTGTGTGGACATATGATCGGCTCCTCTGTATAGACTGTGGCCGCTTAATGGTCCCTGGTTAAGAGAAATCCCAGTTCGGCCACTGTCTATTTATATCATGAAGCTGGACGCATGTGCTGGCTGCAGTCGCCTCGCATGTTGTGTGGACACATGCTAACACCCTGAGAGACCCTCTGAGAGCATGAGAGCAGAGATCAGTCTAACACTGAGCTCAGCGGGCATCGAACTGTGAACATGTCTGAAGCTGTCGCGCTCAGGCTGCACGCCGAGGCAGCGTTTATCTGCTGGGAGATAACGTCACTGTAATAAAGTGGAGGTCCGTTAGCGACCTGAGGTCTGACGTCACCCACATCCCCATCATCCTCACTTAGCTAAACTTAGCTAACACTGAAGTTAGCGCGCTAAAGCATCCACAGCAAACCTGCCCCGCGTCACCCACTCGTTTTAGAAACGTTCACAAACACAAGCAACATCAACCCCGGCTCGTTTCTTCGTGTAAACCGAACCAGAGTCGGGTTAACTCACTTCTGTTGGGCCAGTCCCTGCGTGTGTCCGGATGTTCTCCTCCGCCGTCACCGAGACGCACAACACAAACCTCCGTATACGTAGCACGGAGCTGAGACGTTCACTGACCCTGCGGCGTTCAGGAACCCACCTCTGGTTATGTGTTCTCTGCCAAGTCAACCGACCGGTTTCTGCTGAACTATCACCCGCCAAATAAAACTTAAAGTTAGAGTTGTACAGTTTGAAAACGTCTGTATGCAGCACACTGGCCACTGTTAAATAGTACACTCCTCCTCTTAGGTACAGTTTTTATTAGTCTGAAACTTTATAAGTGCCATCACATGGTTTAATAAAGCTGTATAATCATTCACAAGCCAGTGAGATTTAGTGCTTTATTGTGACAACTTCCTTTGATTTGACCGATTCACAAGACTCATGGAACAAAGTGCATTTATTACTCAATGATTAAACTGTCAGTGATGGATTGTCTATATTTAAAAATGGATTGCTGCAAAGTACAGATGATATAATTGATTGCTGAGAGTGGATACAGAAGATAGACATTATGTATCCTGCAAGTACCGCCACAGAATGATCAGGAGCCCACTGCTGCCCTGATCCAGGTCTGAGAGGACACCAGGACACCATCCACTGACTCACCAGGAGCGTGCCCAGATCTTATCAGGAGTGCACACAGCCACATGGAGGTCTTGAACACTACTGAATCACATTGTGTTGCCATGATGAAATTCAATAAAGTTGGATCAGCTTGTGATATATATATGTGGTCTCCATATGTGGTCACCATTTACTTCAATTGTATTGGATTTGGCTGCTGTTTGATGCTGTTTACCCCTGAAACTCCTAAATATGCTTGATGTTTATTATTGCCATATTAACTTTGGTTGGAAATATAAGTTTAATGTCACATTTCTGAATTATGTTTTGCCAAAGAGTAGTTTTAACATTTTTATATATGTTTTTACATTTCCCCTTTAAGGAGTTTATGTTTTTACCCATCTGTCTGTTTGTCAGCAGGATTACACAAGAACACCTGAATAGATTTCTTCAGAACTTGGAGGAAGGATGGGACATAGGCCAAAGACGTTTTGATCCAGATCTGGACATAAGGGCAGATCCAATATTTTTTAGCACTTGCTTTGCAAAAACATGATAGGGCGTTTAATCTTGGTGGAGATAGGTGCTCTGCAAGCATCCTTCTTATCTCCCCATCTCCATTTAATCTATGAACTCTGACTGGTCAATATTAATCTTATCAAAATACAGTATGGCATCAATATTTATTGGTTTTTTGACAGTTAGAAAGATTCAAAAGGTTTTAGCTGATTTCCTGTAATGGGATATGAGTAACAATTATTCAGTGTATTTCATCATGTTAGCGTAAGGATAGATGCCAGAATCTTTTCCAAATGCAGGATGTGTTGTTTCATGTAGTATTTGTCTTGTTTATATCTGAAACAACAAAATGATTGTAAACAAAACATTGTGAACACAAGTTTGGTTTTTGAAAAAGCTTTTACTGCAGCATTTAAATACAATATTCTGAAAAACTGGAAAAACAAGGCTCTACCATGAGAGTATCTACATTACAACATGGAAAATGTTCAAACACCAAGTGAGAACCTGTTACTATTTAGTTCCAGGGTTAAGCAGTAGCCTGTTGACAAGTTCACATGTGAGGTTAACATAGCTGTTGTCAGTCTGAGTCTTGGTAACGGTGCTGTGCTTTGTTAAGCCCTCTTCTCAGCAGAACGTCTGACTGGTCCATTCATCTGCCAGTGTGTTCTGTCTAATAATTCTTGTGCTTGGTCGCGGACATTCACTGCTGTGTCATCTTGGCTGCTTCAGCTTTTATTAGCGAGATAAGTTCCAGGTTAATTAGAAACACAAAGCGGAGACCTGCGATCTGAAGAGAAAGACACAGTATGTTAGGGCCATGCTTGTTGACTCAGTACCACTTGAACATATCATAGTAGTTTCAATTGAAATCCTATACGACTTGGTTGGACCACAAACACACCTCCACCACTGAGTTGTTATTGAGTTTCCACTTGTTGCCCGACAGGACTGGTCTCCCATCAATGTAAATGGGTCGTCTGCCCTCGTTGGCGATGAAGAAGTCTCCATTATTCTTCAGTTTAATAATTCCTGTAAACAGCAACGCACAGAGTAACCATCATTTTTTTATTTCATAAATCATGGTTTGTAGATGGTTGGTAGTTGTGTTTTCTGTCAACAGAAATCCCAGGGTTAGGTAATTTGCAACACTTAAACTGTTTTCAGTAAGAACTCCTAGGTTTCCCTTTCACATATGAAGAAAGCAGCAGGAGATAATCCGTGTTCACAACAACAGGAAAATGCAGAGCATGCAGGAAGCAGGACGTTATGTAGGAACTCCACTGCAGGGTGCATGCATTTTTATTTAAAGCATATTGACAACAGCGCTGACTCGTATCACCAAAAGCTTGAAAATCTGTGTCTTAATTAGTTGACATCTTTGCTCCAACTTATACATTTATATATACTTAAGAAGAATATATGTGCCCCAATCTGAATGCTGTGAAGAAGCTTTTGAATCCTGCATCCACTGGTCAATATACAGGATAAAGTTTGACGAGCTCTACAGTGGAGATAAGCAACATTTTTTTATTTCAGAAGAAATATCTATTACAAAGCTTACACCTTGTACAACTCGAATGTCACTTTAATTAATCTTCACAACAAAAAATCTCAACATCCAAACGCTCAAAAATAAAACTTCAGTTGTGGGAAGGCTTCATTGGATTTTATTCAGTTGTTCCTGTTTCTCAGGTGCTTTCAGTAACAGGAAAATATTTTAGAATAGTGTTTTAAATGTGATGTTACAGCCTGACACTGAATGAGTTTACTCACCTTGTTTTCTTGATATTTTCCAGGCAGGTCCTTCTAGTGACAGATCCACATCTATCTGTTTGTCCTTGGTCGCCCTGCCCAACGTAATCTGTGTAAAAAAAAAACAATTAGCATCACAGTGAAAATACATCTCCACAGATAAAAAAAATCCCTTTGACTATATCCTTCCTTTTTTGCCTCACTAGTGTGTGCACTGCATCACTGTTACAACTGAAAGGAGATTAATTACCTCTCTTGATCTCATGAGGTAGCGTACCATTCGTCCTCGTAGTGCTGCCAGTGTCTGGTTATCAAAGTCAGGCATGCTCATCCCTGGAGACACATATGAACATTAATTAGTTCCACAGGCTAGATTTACCAGAACAAATAATAAAAGCCATAAGCTTGTCCTTGGCTAGAGGAACTCTACATACCTGTGATACTGTCCACGAGAACCTGCCAACGAGGCAACTCCTGCTCTAACTGTCTGATCTCCCTTTTCTGGTGGCGATCAGAAATCATCAGCTCTGAGAAATCAGTGACCATAAAATCCATTAGGACATTTCTGTCTCTAATAATAACAACGTAATAAAGAATCTGTTTTTATAATGATTTCTTACCGTGTTCCAAAACTTCATCTCTGCTCTCCCTGTGGGAAAGGAAACATGATCAAATTTTAAAAACTCATGAACATACAATATGTTACTGAGTAGCGAGTACATGGGAAAAAAACATAAATACTGAAATCTAAATGAATGTCTTACTTTAACTTTACATCATCAACCATCTGCTCAGCATCAGAGAAGTTGAGGACCTGGTCCCCTTTAGGAAGAGGCTGGACTGCAACACACAATAAAAAACAAAAAAGCCATTAAATATAGAGCCCATCACATTGTTTCTGAAAACTGACATCAGGGGCTTTCTTGTAAAACAGAATGACGACTATCAATAAGAGTGAATTAGTGCAGGCATATTTGCAATTCACTGCAGTATAAAAGTAGGTATATGATACCAAAATAGATGTTTCTCATAAATTTAAACTGCCATTGTAATTAGCAATGTACCAGTATTGGTACAAATGGATGGGAAAATAAACTCACCACTCTGGTCATCCAGTAGGTAGTACTGCTTTAACAGCTGCCAGTGCACCAGTAAGCTCTTGGGAGTGCGAGATGGGTGAAAGACACCAGGGTGCTTGCTAAGAAGCTCTTGGAACACGTCCAGTTTAGGCTGACTAGTCTGTTTGGGGAAAAATTTGGTAGATCATTTATGAGTACAGATGTTAAATGTGTAAATGCAAGTGATGGATAAAAGTGTTCCAAAGGAAACAATTTCACATACCGAACCAATCTTTGCCAGCAGTACCTCCTCAGCCTGACTGAAGAGGGCTTTACTTTGAATTGCTGCAATGGCCTCTGGGTGAAGCTGCCGCATGGCCTGCCATGCCAGCCTAACCAGGCCGACAACAAAGAGAATGAGATTCAAAGATACTGAAGAGTGTCAACAAGTTTAATACAGAAACTTGGAACGGGAGCTAAAGGTGTCTTAGACTCTTACTTTGAAATGACAGGATCGTAGAGCAGAGCGTACCACCTCTCTTTAATTTCCCGTAAAGTAAAGCGACAGCTGAACTTGACCCCCAGATGAACTGAGGTTAGATCTGTTGTCTAGAGAAAGAACCAAATAAGAGATTGGTGGTATGAATGTCACACATTCATTAAGTGACACATTAATACAAGAATCACAGAATTATTAAACAATATGGCAATGATTTACATTTTTGAACTCCTCACCTGCAACACTGCATTTATGAGGAGCAGATCATCTGTGGGTTTCCATCGCCCCAGGTCTTTGGTGATATGTAGAGGTTGCTTGCTTTTCTTCACTCTTTTGGTGATGGGTGGAGGGTTTATTACCATGGCGAGAGGTGGTGTGAGAGTGGTTCCTGACTTTGTCACCTGACATAATGTATCAAAGGTACATAAATCATCCATCACACCTTTACATGCTCTATTGCAGCCATTGTTTCCTGATGGAATCTGTGGATTTCATGGTGACACAAACCTTTTTCTTCTCACAAGAAGAAAGTTCACTCGCTGGACAGCGGACAGGCTCTATGACAGGAGGGCCTTTGACTCTGCTAGATGACTTCACAAGACTGCTTTCTACGAGCTCATCATCAAACTTCTTCCTCTTTATCGACCTGGGGACATGATTTTGTCAACGTTTTTGAAGAACATTTATTTATGTATATTGCCAACAAAACTATGCTACTGCACAGCTGGACTGAATGTAAAATATACAAGGAAATATATATCAAACCTGGAAGAACTTCTACGTTTGGGAACACCACTGCCAAATGCTTGTGTTGCTGTCCTTTTCATATCTTTTACTCCCAGCGACTCTTCGTCCTCTGACCGACTCTGGGCACCAGAGACTGCCATAGATGCACCAACCACAGGGTCCCCTGCTTGCATCTGTTATGTCACAAAATGAAACACATCAGGGAATCCTGCAGATATCTCAGTGTAGAGGAGCAGGACGATTTGACTAGATATCCTTTACTGAAGATCACATTATGAGTCATAAATATAAGCGTTTCCTTAGTCTAGAATGCAGACAACTGTGACTATAGTATAGTTACAACATTGAGCAAGAGAGTTATGCAAGAATGAGGTGATCAGAGACTCTGCGGGAGAATAATCATGAAAACGTCGGCCTATGCTTGATCATCGATGTTATCCCATGACAGTGATCATGCTAACAACGCTGTATGGTGTGCTGTTTACCCTTTAGCTCAAGTAGAAACACGTGTTAAAAGGCACGTACTACGTCCCAAAGTACAGAATTGAAATCCTAGTTGTTCTTTTACATTTGTGTGAGAATCCTGTCGAGCCTGTGTGGAAGTCAAGAGGAGGGCCAGGCTAATCGATTAGCCACGTCTTTTGTTTACATCCTACGTTAGCCACAGCCTCTCCCGCTGCCTGCCATAAGCAACATTTAGCATGATAGGAATCGCGGTGGTGTGTAAAAGAGCCGAACTACACACTGTTCCATCACAATCTGTTTGGTTAGACGATACTATCTGATGAAAAACTATCGAAATCCGCTGGTTGGTGCTAAGTAGCTAGCACAAGCTTAGCTAAGACGGAAGCTAACGATAGCTAGCGATAGTAGCTAATACAAACAGCTGCAGTCTCGTCACTGACCTTTTCTCGTTAATTCTCTCCGTTATGATATCCGGTCCGTCAACTGCAGTCTGTAGTTTGTCGGTACTTGTTATCAGCAGCTTGTTCGCTTCCTACATGACGAACTGACAACACGAGTTTGTGGATTTGACGTACGACTATTAGCATTAGCTTCGCGGCTACCTTCTACTTGTGAGCTCTGATCACGGAGCTGTAGCGCCACCTGCTGGAATGGAGTTTAGACCTGGCGCCAAAGAGAGGAGCTCTGTCACAAGTGTTTGACACTGACTTCATTCTCACACTATTTTTATTTTATCAAGTTTATAACATGTTGCTCTTTCTCTCTTTCTTTCTTTCTTTCTTTCTTTCTTTCTTTCTTTCTTTCGTGGCTTATCGCACCGTCACACACAACAGTAGAGCCTGATCGACTTGGATTTTGTGGGTGCTGATAATGATATTTATATATATATATATATATATATATATATATATTAGAGAATATCATTTGTAGTGCATTTACTGTATTGTAAAACAGCTGATTATAACCTTCATGAGGGGAGGATTAATTATAGGACTGTTGCATTTGGTTGGATTGGTTTTAACTGCCAGCTGAAAGTATAACTAACAGTAAAATTTACTATCACATGCGAAAAAATAAAAATAAATAGGAAGTCCCTTTTAGCATGAAAATGGTACAGTTACACTTCACATGGTTATTCTTCCAACCACAGCTCTGCGGTTCATTTCCCTTTTCCCTACAGGAACCCAACGTTTTCCAGTGTTGTTGGAGGACAAAGGTTTTTCCAGTTCCAGTGCAGAAAGCAGCACTTTAATGACGTTTCTCCCATGGACCATTCTCTACAGTCAAATATTGATCCAGTATGGTGTTTAGCTTCTTAGCAATTCCATGTCTAACCTCTAATATTGAACTGAACTAATAAACACATGTTAGTCAGGACATGAAATCTACATTAAACTCTCTGTGTAAGAAATCAGCTGCTGCCTGAGTTCTCCTTTAACCAGCTTCCAGAAAACGTCCATCGCAGAGCTCATTCATATTTGGCATCTGTATAATAATAAAATGGCCTGAAGCTTTTGGAGCTGAGATGAACCTCTAGTAGTTAAATAGCCTGAATTCTGTTTTGAGGTGGAGCTGCAGTGAAACATAATCGCTCTGTGACAGTATGGGGAGATGTGATGAACGAGGCTGTGCTGGGATTTTTGTGGAGTGATTGTTGACCCACATGTCACACAGGAACCTTGATTCTCAGCGCTATGCTTCCTAGAAACCACTGCCTACGTGCTCAGTGGTTTGTTCCCTGGCATCAAACATCAAATGACGTATTCCAACGTGATAAGTCAGACCTACGATCTGATGATTTAAATGCTGAAGTAGAACAAAGAAACAGGTGTTAATATGGATATAACCTGGATTCTCATTGATTCACTCTAATAAAACCAACACATTTAAATAAGTGCAACTTGAAACCTTTTATTGACGTTTACAGTAACAGTTCCAAAATGTGTTAAATTAAAAATAAATACAGAAGCTCACCATGTTTACAAAATGCTGATATGTCACTCATAGGTTTAGTTGTAAAAAAGACAAATTAAAGACATTGTGCTGCACTAATGAATCGAGGCGTACATTTACATTTTAGAGACAAATACAGACATTTACAAAGCCTGAGTGCAGAGTAGCCTACTTTTCCAGATTTCAGTGGCACTATATGTATCCCTGCACAGGAATAATTTCAACAGCTGCCATTTCTTTTCAAAAATAAAAGGAACCAGTCACAAACAGTTTTTCACCACAAGCACCAAAATACACTTTGATCAATACACTGATCAAATCTACACAACTCTCTCACGGTAGCTGGAGGTACTACAAACAGGGTCTCCATGTGCCATGTTTCTAAGGTTCAGATAAAAATCATTTACAACGTCTATCTCAGATTTAAAGTGAAATAAAACATACAAACACTCCTCCTTTAGCCTGATCACCACAGGAAATTGTTGATACTGCTGCACTGTATGGTTCATAATCAGATTTAGGCAGGGCTATACCAGATTCTGAAAAATCTCAGCTTCAAATTCTTTATGTATTGCATCAAAGTCCATGAAGTGTACCACGCTTTGACTCAATGAACATCTGGGTGAAATGTGTTGGAGATCACTGACTTGCTTTTGCAAATACTTAAGTGCTTAATGGTGATTTCATTAAAATACAGAGCTTTAAATTTGGAGTTATGCTGCTCACAGTGGAAGTTTCATTGATGAGTCATCGCTCCTCCTGCTTTGTTCATTTGTCCTTTTCCACATGTCGGCCTCTCCAGCCGAGGTGACAGGTACGCAGGGCTTTGGTCTGAGTTGTGTTGAAGGTTAAAGGTCTGCTCTGATATGTTCCACTGTGTGTGGCGGGCTCACGGTTCCTGTGGTGGCTCCGCCTGCCAGTGTTCCTGCTGCTGAGGGGACTCACGTTCACGTAACTGATCAGCTCAGGGGGGAGTAGGTCATCGCTCGATAAACTGGAGGCTAATGACATTGTCAGGAACTAGAAGCGTCCGTGTCATGGGCTTCACGGAAACTCCTTCTGGGTCCGGCTTCACATCGAACTCTACGAGGATCTTAGAAGAGAAGAATCAGATAAAATAGATTTACTACAGGGTGACTGAAATAAAAATAAAATCAAGTGGGCGTCATGTGAGAAAGTGTTGGAAAGTGACTTTAAACTGAAACCCCGGGATTAAGTAATCAAATGAAACTGTTAGGAGCAGGATTTGTACAATGGCTTAAAACACATTATTCTACTTTCTCACATTATTCCAAAGGGCAGTAAGATGATTTGTGGTAAACGCAGCAGTATTTAATCTTAAACAATCTAAATCACTTGTTGAATCATTCCAGTAATCTGTAACATGCAGCATGTGACACAATGTTATTTCCTCCAACAAGGAGGTTGCGTTTTTTATCTTTCTGTTCATCTGTTCTGGGTTTACTCAAAATCTACTAAACCGATTTCCATGAAATTTTGTGGAGTGGCGCGTGACCCAAGGAAGAACTCAGCAGGTCCAAAATTTTACTTTCTTTAACATAAGTAGATAGGGCATTAGACTTGGTGGAGGTCTACGTGTGTCCTAGTTTTAAATTGTATCATTTTTCTTAATGAAAGCTGTAAAACTTATTCTCTAAAGCTGTTAATCTCTAAATGTAAATTAACCTTTTCACTTAATTGTTATTTTTTTTGCTTCTAACTTTATTCTCTCAAAGTCCAGCCTACTCACCCTGGAAAGGGCAAGATAGAGCTCCAGCTCAGCGATACGACGACCTATGCAGCTGCGTTTTCCCACGCCAAACGGTACAGAGGCGTACGGGTGATGAGCCTGGTCCTTGTTCAACCATCGATGAGGGTGGAATTCATCTGGATTCAGAAACACTGCCGGATCCCTTGAGGTTGCATATTGGCAGAGGGTGATCAGAGTCTGGATGGATAAATGTAATGTTTAGATGTGTCATATTGCAAAGGTGAACCATTCGTGTAAAATTCATCCAGAGCTTTCAAATGTGAACAAATGACATGAGCCAGAGTTTGAGTGTGAATATGCACTTATTCCCTCACATTTTTAGGGAGGAGGTAGCCTCCAACCTGGATGTCTCTTTCTGTAATGACCCGTGCATTTGCAGGAATCACCGGGTACAACCTGAAAAAGAAAGTATAATAATATGAGCATAATTCAACTTAACAATCAGATGTTTGTCTGCAAAATGACTGCAACCTCTCAACTTCTACCTGAGCACTTCTTTGACTGTGGCTTTCAGGAGAGGCATTTGAGCAACATCTGCTGCCTCCGCTATCCTCCGACCCTTCAGCACGCTCAACACCTCATTCCGGAGCGAGGCCTGCAGCTCAGGGTGACGGGACAGCTCATACAGGGACCAGGACATCGTGCTGGAGATCTGGAATGACACAGCGACAAGAGTTATTACAATCTGTACGACGGAGCATGGTAAAGAAGGTGACAGAGGGATCGTCGTACCGTGTCAACTCCTGCAAGAAGCAGCTCTGTGACGTTGCTGTAGACAGTCTTTATGGGCAGGCCCATCTGGGACAGGAAGTAGGTGAGATAACGGCCCTCCACCTTTTCTCCACGAGCAACTTTCTCTGCCTCGGTTGTCAGCCGCTGGTCGATATGACCTTTTGCTACAGGAACAGATATCATTTGATATTATGTTTCGGTGGACGTGGAAGAGACTCGCTCACATAAGGATGCTGAGGCCAAGCTGTTCGTTTTCAGCTTTCTAGGGCGTTTTCTTAGTAGGATAGGATGGAGTTATCTTTCTTGATAAAAGCCTTGATGATTATATCCAAACTCTCTTTTGAACTTGAGGTCTTTATTTCCCAAATTTGAGGGAAAATAACAACTATTAACTTGATCATAACCACAGTTTGATCATTAAGCTGATGTTCAGTATCAAAACTTCACATTTTGTTACAGCAGAGGATCTTGTAGTGCGTGAGGGTTAAGGACTTTAATCTCCTGCTTCCTGATCTAGTACTTATTCTAAACATGTTCAATTTTGACGTCTCAGATCTGGATAAGTCTTAATGTACTGCAGAGAGTGGGAGGACAACCCGGTGATGAGTGGAGGACAACCCAGCCAATGAGAACTGAGAGGAATGGAAGGGATTTCATGACATGAAAGACATTCAGTATGTTCCACTTCTTTGTTTTGGTTCCACATGAGGCGCTCACTGGTGTAGTGCATCTTTAGTTTCTCTATAATATCCTCTAGAATTTGCAAGATTTTGTTTCAATATTTCACATATTATGACTTTCAAAAGCATTTTCTGTACAATAAAATAATAAAAGTAAAATTCTGAAAATCAGAAGTATTGTTTGCAAGTTTGCACATTTCCAATATAAAACTTAAAATGATGCTTAGGGGAAATAACCTACCGAAATCAAACATGTAGTCCCAGGACTGACAGAAGACTTTCCAAGGTTTAGGGAACAGCTGGTGCAACCAGCTGGGCATGGCCATAGTAAGAAGCGTCATCACAAACATGGTGTTGATAGACTGGATGAAACGTTCTGTCTCTTCAGGAACCACCTGATCCAGGCAACCAATTCTGGACTCAAACAACACGGAGGAAATACCTGTTGAAAAAGCAGCATAAAGTTACATGATATTGTATTTTTATAAGTCGTCAGCTGATCTATATAAAAGAGTAAAGAATAAACATTATGGTTACATTTAGAAATATGAAGCAATAACAATACAAACTAGAAGAGCTTTTTTTTATCTGAAAATAAAGAACATGGTAGAATAGTGGATGCTTCAAAACTGGAAAGTTGGTTTAAGTGTTTATATCTTTATATTGTTCATGCATTTATTGTTAACATGATCCGTTAGTTTCTCTTTAAATGTCACAATCCAGCTTCTATTCAACAATACAGTCATTTTCGGTGACGGTACAGAGTAAATGTTTGTACGTGTGCAGTCACTGGATTGAGTCTGTGTTTAGTCTGGACAAAATCTGACAGGAACATAAATGAATACAACTCAAAGGAGAAGGAGAACCGCAGGAGCACAAAGAGAAAGAGGCCATAGCCTCGGTCCATTTTTTTTCTTTCTCAAACTGAGAAACTTGACAGTAATAACCTGTAAACTTGGCCTCTTAAATCTCCTTTGGAAAACTGGGAACACAGAAAAGGTGCGTACCGATACATTTACTGATGTTCTATAGTATATGTGCAATTTTAAAATACTCTAGAGTATTTCCATTGCAATAAATACTTCAACTCTAATTCTTTTAAAGGGAATATTGTACTTCCATCCATCCATTCATTAATCTATCCCCAGCCACATTTTCCAGCGTCTCCTGCTGGATCCTGAGACGTTCTCAGGTCACATGGGATATGAAATCCCTACACAGAATTGTGGTTCTACCTCAGGCTCTCTTTCTTAAGGATGAACCTGTTAAAATTACAACAGTTGGCACCCAGGAGGCATCCCAATCAGATGCCCAAGCCAACTGGGTCTTTTCCACTTGAAGGAACAGCGACTCTACTTTGAGCTCTTCACCCTATCTCTAAGGCCGAACCCAGTCACGCTACAGAGAAATGTAATTTCGGCCGCTTGTATCTGTGTTGTCATTCTTTCTGTCACTACCCTGAGTTCATGACCACAGGAGGTTTGGACCGGAGATCGACTGCTAAATCTAAAGCTTTGCCTTCTGGCAATGTCTGCATTAATGCTTGTGTTGTTGCAATCTCCCGCTCACATAAACAAGACCCTGATATAGGAAGCAATTCATACCAAACTGCCTTTTTACTACAGCTGTACAGAAGGTAATATCTTTCTCCAGTGATGTTCAAGAGAAGAAAACCAGAAGCAGGATGTTATTTTCTTCAAGAGAAATGGACAGCGTTGTTAAAAGCATCATCCTCACTACCATCTGACATCACACACCTCTGCAAAAAGAGCTGTTCCAGCCAACACATTAGAGAGATTAGATTAATATGTGTTCAATAATTTAATATGGCCCATGAAGGTTGTTGAAAATTATCCTTGGCAGGAAAAACATTTTCAACGCCTGACTTACACAGTAAGTACAAAATAATGAGATGAAACCCCATTCAGGCCACTCTACCTTCTGAGTACTTGTACTTTTGATGCTTAAAGTATATTTTCCTAGTGATCCTGCTTTACTTTTAAGTATAAGTATAACTTTATTAAAAAGCCCTGTCACCACTTTAACTCCAATAAAACCATCTGAATAGCTTTTCCGGCCCTGAGAAGGTGAGATAAAGGTTACTCGTCAATGTTCTAAGGTGGAAATGTTGATATAATTAGAGGATGTCAGGCTCTGACAGTTATGTATGTTTAAAATGTCAGTGATATCACATTATACTGCCCGCTGCATATGGCTGGCACTAATCACCAATGTTTACATGGTGTGATACACCCTGTAGAGATGCATGACATTTCCACTCATCAGACTGGGTGAAACCTTACCCTCGAGGCCGAAGCGATAGAACTCTCTGGCGATATCAGTGACGAGGCCTCCGGGACGTCTGCTGAGGCGAAGTTTGGCAATGAGGTCAGTGACCACGCTGTTCAGGGTTTCATCGTAAGCTTCCACTGCCTTCGGCCGCAGCATGTGCTTCCCCAGGAGACTTCTCACCGCCTGCCACTCCTCCCCCTCACTGGGAACACACCATGAAGACTGTCAGGAATTTGTACACACAGCTGAATTATTGGACTTTATATTTTAAAGAGGGAGCTTTGAAATGGTCTAATCTGATCTCTTCATTCACACTTAGGAAAAAAAACCATGTATGACATTATTAAAAAAATTTTCTGCCATGAGTCAAAAAAAGTTTCATGAAAGTGGATGAAATAAGTTGAGATGAGGATGGTGCTTCATCTTTGTTCTCAGTAACATCAGGAAGGTCATAAACCTTTTAACACTGTCTTAAGCTTCAGGTCGGCTGAGAGAGGATAGGACAAAAGCTAAGACAGAGACGTTTGACAGGTCAGATGATTTTTCAACACTCACGATGTCAAGAGTCCATAGTGATGTCCCCTGAGCTTCCTGTAATCCTTCCAGGAGGAAAGGTCGGAGCGCATGGGGTGCTGGCCCTCCTGCCTCAGCACCTGCTCGATGAGCGCCGGGTCAGCCACATGAACTGTCAGGATAGGGCCGAAGCTGGCCTTCCACATGGGGCCGTAGCGCTGCACCCCCTCCAGCTGCATGGGACACGAGACAGAGGGTTAAAAAACCCTGCAGGCTACACGAGATGACTTGCATCATCTTTGCTCTTTATAGTTTAAAGCCCAGTGCAGGAATAAAAGTGGCCTGCAGACGAAAGGATGAGATCAATTACACCATCATCCCATTTCTTCTCGATGGGGGGACTTTAATTAAAACATTTATTTTGCTTCATTTGGACGACTGACTGTTGCTGTGCTGGATGATGTATGTGTGGAGCTTGACACTATAGAAGGCTTTTTCAAATCCATCTGTTATGTGCTCACTTTACATCAGAGTTTATAACGTGTGCGTACAGGCTTGTCTTGTTTTGTGACATCATATCTAGTTTGGAAGCCAATCAGCGTGCAGCATGCAACTTGCACAATTGAGACACCTCCAGTGCACATTCAACTGAAGTGAAGGAGGAGACATTTTGTGTGTGGTGAATGGAAAAACGTGCATATTCACAGATTCTGGTTTTGTCACTGGGGTATGAGGATCAGTGTAGATGTGGCTTTAAGAATTTAAAAATGGAACATTCTGAAGAAAAAACATATTACACATAAAGCAGAGAAGCAATAAAAGTCTTTAAACGTATCTGAAAGCAATTTTTAAATAATATATATTCTAATTTTCCCTGTATATTGTCATATTCTAGATTTTTTTAAAGGTAATAAAAATCCATTCATTATGTCCTCTTTAATCTCCTGTGCATCAGTATTTTGTCCAGTATGGTAAAAAAGTGTAATATTCTTCACTTTTACATTGTTCTCCTCTTTAATTTCATCCATGTTTTGCATTTTATCATCCTACCTGTAACTCGTGAAGCCTGGACAGCCCCCGTTTGGCGAACAGGTCCCAGGCGAAGCTGGCCACGGACGGTCCGGGCATGTCGTCCAGCGTCCTCACGTCCTTGGCACCGTGCGCAGCGGCTGACGCGCCCTCGGCCCATCTTTCCATCCACTTGACCAGGGGGAAGGCGCTCCGGCCGGATACTCGAAGAGCTTGCTGCAGCATCCTTCTCACTAAGATCATGAAGCGGTGGCCGGACGCGGGTCCTTCGGATGTCGGTGCTCATTTTGTTTGCCCCGGCTGCAGCCTCTATTTATAACGCGCGACCTGCTCCTCGAACCTGTGGGAGATAAACCCGCAAATTTTCTTATTTTGGGCCAATCATGGGTGTAAATGCGGCGCAGGCCCCTCCCCCGCCCGGATGAGAGTGCGAGGGCGTGAGCGGAGAGGAAGGTGTGTCCAATCAGAGGCCTGCACTCAGACCATCCCAGACCCTGGATAAATAATCCATGACTTCTCTGTTACTGCTCAGGCTTATCTCTGCACCTGTGAGGCAACTCGCTCCCTCACAGTCCAGCAGACTCAGACATATTTAGAGTGATCACGCACTGTGGGATATGATGTCTTTGTGTGCTCATAGGACCACTAACCCTCAAGGCCAATGCTATTATAGATCCCATTGATCTAAGAGGGGGAAGCCAGGTCTGTTTGAGGGAGATAAGAGGGCTGGAGGTTACTTTAACCTCAGACAAAAGACAAAACCAAGCAAAAACACTTGATCCAATAGCCAGAGGTGTTGCAAAAGATGATTTGAGAGGGCTTACTCAACAATGCAAACACAGACTATTAATAAGGAGTGTGTAAACATCAACAAAGACAGTGGAAGTTTGTGTTAAACAGAACAGTTGGGGATAAAGTGCCTCTTCTCCAGAAGTGGTGTTGTTACAGAATAACCAATTCTTCTGCTGACTTGGTGGGTTTCCTAGCGAGAGAGGGAAAATCCTGACCTGATTTCTATTGAACTGGAAGTTGTCCAAAGCACCATGTGTGCAGACTGTGAAGTAACAACCCCGGGGCTGTACTCAGAATCTGCTTTGACATTTGCTCCCTCATTTTGTATACTCTAATCAGAAATCTTAGATCATCCAGTTTCAGAGAAACACAGAGGATTAAGTAGCAATCTAAGGTATAAAATAATGAGGCCTGGCGGAAAGCATCTGTGCTCCCTGCGCATTACAGCCCAGGATTTAATATATAGTCTGGTTTTTGTATTCTCATCAAATATATTCTATAAAGTATTTAAACATGGGTCCTGTTTGGAGGTACATATAACAACATTGGCTAACTTTGATTAATCTAAAATAGGTTTTAGATCTGATGTGTGTTGATTGACATACAGCTGTAAAATCAACTTCATACAAAAAAGCTTATTTTATAAGAATGCATTTCAAATGAATGTGATATTAACCAATGACATTTTCATCCAGTGTTTAATTGCATCCACTTCAGTGAACATTTTATTTCCATCAATATATCTCATCGCTGGGGATGAAATTGAAATATATCGGCTTAAATCCACAAAAGAAAAATCACACAATTATTAAAAACAACATAATGACTTACACTTGTATAAAACATATAAAATCAACAATAGTACCAATATATTTTAGAGAATAAAATTTCAGTAGAATAATTATCAAGACAAATCAGTGCATGTACCAGAAAGTATATCCACCTGGCTCTTTAGTGCCACATGCTGTGACTGAAACATTCCTGGTGGTTTTCTGTTCTCTTTTGGTGATGATTGTGTGTAATTTATCTGAAATATATGATTATCAATCACCTTTAAGCTACTTATTACCCCTATACTATGTCATAACCATTTAAAGTTATGGCCACAATATGCCAACCAAGTGTTACAAGCCCTATAGGTGTGCATGTGAACATGTGCAGCCTGAAGGAGAAAGAAAAAGAAATTTGGGTTGGCGCCTGAGAACAAGCTGTGGCAGCTGAAGAAAGGTAGTTCCAAAAGATGACATATTGGCTTTTCTTCATGTCTACTTAGCAACATGTTGATTTACAGCAATGTCACAGGCCTGCTCTGTTCAGACTGATTTTTGAGAAAATTATTTTATGGAGGTTCTTTTCACTGCAGAATCACATGTCTGTGCAGTCAGCTGCTAGGTTAAAGGGTCACTCCTGACATGACATTTGATTTTTAGCAGCTACACTTGGTGTGATGGGATCTCATGCAGGACTCTTACTTAGTGTTCTGATCTTTCTGTTCTGGGCCAATCTCATGTGTTAGCACTCAAACAAATGTCCAGGGAAGTGTGCATTGATTTATTTAGCTGAAGGCAATATTAAGTCTGGTTCTTCTGATCTAATTAACATAGACTTCCTGGTGTCAGAGTATTTCTGCAGTTGTCTGCATGCACTAGGAAGAGAAACTAACTTTGATACACAGAAGTCCTGCATGTGCGTGGAAGCTGAACACATATCAAGAGCATGAACAAGAAACATAAGAGCAGAAAAACAGGGAGACATAACCTATAGGACACGCGAACAATGGTGATCATGGACTGTAAAGTTAACGAACATGAAATGTGAGGCAAACATTTGACAACAGATTAAATGAAGCCTCAAGAGGGAAACCGGTAGAATTGGAAGACCATTTTTAAGCACTGCAGCAGTCCCCACTTCTTGACTCACTATTTACAGTAGTTGACCCGAACATGTGAATCAGACTTCTGTATGAGAGGCCACAAAAGAATGTGTGTGTCTGTGACGCTGGGTTATGAGGATGAAAGTGCAGCATTGAGCAAAGATCAAACCTGCTCTGTTAGAAAACGTCTGTCACGAGCATGTTCATGAGACTTCCTGAGTGGGAGATTATCTTCAAGAGGGAAAGATAAACAATGACCTCGGAAATTTACATGAACGCATAAACAACTTCTAAAGGTCAGTGCATGGATGAGTTTTTGGTTTTACACAATGCACTGCAAACAAATCCAACCCATGATTTCATCAGTTGGACTGCTGATTACAAATCAGAAGCATTTCAAGCGCCCTCTACACCTCTTGCTTTTCCAGGAAAGATGCGCACATCTGAACATTTTGCTCTGGCACAGCAGCTCAGATGCTCATCTTCAGTTTCTTGTTCGGCAGGTTGGTAACGGAAGACCACACAAGACGCTGACACAAATAAGACTCTCCCCAAAGTGAAACATTTTTAATTAATCTGGCCCTGGCTGAGTAACAGGGGATTAATATTGATTATGAAAAAACATAAGAAATCCTGCAAAAGAATGGCTTCTTTGTACTATCATGTGAACTGATGTGGCCCAGTTGTAGATCATGCTATAGAGCATGGCAGCGATAGCCTAAGAGGTATTTCCCTTTATTGTACTGGCCCAGTGCCCAGAAGTGAGATGGCTATACTCCCAAACTAGTGTGCTAAAGTTCATGGCTGCAGTCTGCCTGTCTGGGTATCAGAGGAGTGTACGCACACACGCACGCACGCACGCACGCACGCACGCACACACGCACGCACACACACACAAATGTGTGTCCAGAGCTGCACATGAATGAGTTGTTGAACAGTTGTGTGTGTATCAGTCGTCTGTCCTTCATGCTGTTTGAATGGCCGTGTACATGGTCACCTCTTCAACATATCTCAACATGCTCTTATGAATGTTTCATCAGCTAAAGGTTATTTACCCTACACTGAAAGGTTAGAGCACATACCTCCGCCTGGGAAGACAGCTCCCTCTAGTTCAATCATACTGCACCAAATTTCTCAAACGAATAGATTTCAGTCCTCCAGACATATCAGATTTTTTATCAAGATCCATAAATTATTCTCTGAGATCTCAAGGAAGATATTAAAAAAACACCCCTTCTCACAATGTTAAAGAAAGGGATTAAAAGAAATCCTCGATCCTCCCCCTGATCCGGATTCATATCAAAATTGAATGGCTTCTTTCTTGATCCGCACTGCATCCTTCCACCAAATTTCATTATTATCTGTTAGGTAGTTTTTATGAACAAATAAACTAACAAACAAATGGGTGAAAACATAATTTGGCTAAAAATACATTGGCTGGAAACACATATGAATCACGTTTGTTCAAAGTAAATATTAAAGTTGCTTTGGTCAAGTTTATATTTGTACTACACTATTTGAGAATGCTGAAGCTAATCTATACATTATTAAATACCCATAACATTAATTTAACTCCATTCACTTTTAAACACAACAACAAGCTGTTTGTGTTAAATGCAGTAAACATCACATGAATGCATAACCTCGTTCAGCTCTTTATTACCCCCTTGACACAAATATAAGTTGATTTAATAAAATGAATCTTTTTATTTTTAGTGAGCTGAGTTAACTGTCAGGCTACTGCAGAAATGATCCCTTGGGGTATAACTGCTTTTGCGAATTACTGCACCAAGACAGCCCATAATCTTTTTTTTTTTCATTCCAACCTGCCCCTCTGCATTAAAAAAACGTGTTCGGGACATAACGTTCAGAATGTGTTAATGGTGCTTATAGACATAAATCTGTGTGGCAATGAGCTGAGGGGTGCACACAGTCACTAACAAGTAACAACAACACTTTACCAAATGTTCAACAGCTGCTCGTCGCCACATGGTCTGATGGTGTATTGAAGAACAAGAATAGAGTGGTAAAACTACACAAATAATGTATTATCACACATGCAGTAATTGGTCAGGACTGTGCAATTACAATAAAAAAACCCAAGCAAAATAAAAACATTATGCATCTGTTAAGATTAAGAGCCAGAATATGGATTCCAGATGTGTGTTGAACAGTAACAGCATACATGTTTGCAGGCCCGCCTACAGTACATACTGAAGAAATAAAGGAAAATGATGGTAATAAATGCTCTGCTTGATCATGTTCACCGACAACTGAAGCTACCACAGGTTCTTTTTCATGTTTGGAAGGAGAGGGTGAGGTGAGGGGTGTTCAGCTGCAGCATGCAACTTCAGCATTAAATATCACAAAATTCTACACACTGTACCTTTAAAATAGATCTGCTTTCAACTGAAGCTTGTTTTTAATCTGGCCACTAATGCAGCATTTTAACGTCTGAAGAATTACTTAGAATAAAAGCCGATACACGTCACGTTATTTTATATTGAAACATGTTTGTTGATATTAGGGGATTTGAGGTCATAGAAACGTGGCCCTTGGAGAAATTTTGACCATGACCACAATGTTTGAAGATATGGACAGACTCTTCTTTAACCCTTTTCCATGTCTTATGCCAAAAAATTTAGTAATTCTTCAAAAGGCCATATAAAGAAAAAAAGTGAAAAGAGATACAGAGACAGATTTGCTCAGGCATACAGAGCCAAAAACTCACTGTACTGCACAGGGCACAGTTGCAGCCTAACCGAGTGTGCAGTGGTCCAGACATGACTGATGACCACTGTGTCATATTTCAAACATGTGAGGTTAAATAATGGAGCAGCCATGTTGTTATGTGCAGCAGGTGTAAACAGAGCGGGCTGCAGCAGCTCTACACTCCAGGTTAATTACCGGTGTCCTTCAGAAGCAAAATTTACTCTGAGAGGTTTGAACGGATCACGTTTCCTACAATCTATAATGAACACATGGTAGAGCGGGTCGTTCCCAGTTTGAGTTTGCATGTCCTCCATGTATCCGGGTGGGTTCTCTTTGTACCCCGCCTCCCACCCGATGTCAGCTTTGATTGACACCTGCTCCTCTGACCCTCAAGGATGGATTATTCATAAATTATTAATAATTTTGATTGAACTGTAAAATATCAAGCCTCAATTACATTTCTGTGTTGTAAGGGGAACTATTGTCTATACACATACTGTCTGATAAACCAGCGTAGAGACATTTTATAATCCCTAATATATTATATAATTCTGTGGGCATACTTTTTTTTTCATCCAATTAACAGAATTGTAAGTAAGTTTAAAGCCCATTTTAACAGTTGAGGTAGAGGAGAAAAATGTGATGTGTTCTGCCTTAAAGAAAATAATGTGAAGTGTTTTGGGAAGTGTTTGCAACCAAAGGTGGAAATATGGGTTGTTCTGTTGGGCTGTGACTGAAGTAGAAAAGTCATTCGAGCCTGAGGGGAAGCAGCGAGTTGAAGAGATGATTTCAGGTGGAGAAACTACAAAGTCATAGCAGGAAAGAGGTACAGGCTGCTGTGGGAAGCTCGGTAATAACTTTTTTCTCCCCTCGCCTTCATAGTCACAAGCAGTTTGGGGTGAACACAGAACCATTGGGAGAAAATAAATACACCTGAAGAAAAAAAAAAAAAAAGGGTTGTAAACTCAGGTCAGGGGAGGTTTCTCATTAGTCCAGACCAGAGAATCCCAAGTAAGACAGGATTTGATGTTGCATTTAGGGCCGCAGGGCTGCAGAGCCACTCTGATGTGGTCATGTTGAATCTCACCAGGGTTGTTGAAGCTGTGGGAAGGAATTTCTGTGGAAGTACAACAGCTCAGTCTGGTTTAGGCTGAGCTTGAAGTGGTGAGCAGACACCCGGAGATAAGCCTCCACCACAGCATCAGTGAGGTGCCAGTGGCAAAAATAAAGTAGGAAATGTGTGATGTGATTGTAAAGAGAAGCAGCAGAAACCTCGGTGGACTCAGTTCAAAAACATCTACAGTGAAACTGGTGAGCGAACACACCACAGATCATATTGTCGGCTTCTGTGGTTAACTGTAGTAAAGGCTTTGTACAAGTGTGGGAGGATGAAGACTTTAGTTCAGAGTTTAACAAGGACACTGATAAGTTTGTTATACTATAGTGTAAAGGTGTAGCTAAGCATTGGGAAGATTAGCTTAGCATTAAGACTGAAAACCAGAGGGAACCGGTAGAAGGATGTGGTCTGGGTCACGGAAGAACTAAGTCAATGTTGGTGCAGATCTGGATCAGAGGGTGGATCCAGGATTTTGTTTTACCTTCTTTAACAATGTGAGGGTGTTTTACAAAATTATGTTGATTTCTCAGAGAATTATTCACAAAAAAATAAGACATGTTCAGTTGCAGATCCAAATAAAAATCCAGATGTGGTGAAATTAACATGGTTTCATAGGAGAAATGTTAGGCCTTGGTGAAGGAATGTACTCTAGTTACATCCATTCTACTTTCTGTGTTTAATTGTGTTTTTGGAGTGTTTGTCTATTTGGTTGTGTTGTATTTAAAGCATATGCGTTGTCATTTTGTTTCTATTTTTTTTATTATCTTATCTTTTGTTTATGTTGCATAGGTTTCAGTGCGTTCAGCTCTTGCCCACCACACATTTTATATTCATGTATCACTGAGAAATTGTGAAAGAAAGATTGACTAAAAAGGACTAAATGCACAGATGGTGATTTGGTAAAATTATCCAAATTTTTCCCTCAAAAATGGCAGATTTGAGGAAAGAATTAAATATAAATATCTGAGTGTTGCAATTACTTGCAATTTTCCAGTGTCTGGGTTTCTGTCATTAGGGCATGTGCTGTCCTGTTTTTTAATCACCAGCCCCTGCAGCAGCAAAAGGGCGTCAAACCTGCACTGTCCCGTTTCTAGACTCTTGACAGACAAAATTACCAACCTGTAATATACAGCAAAAATCATAATCATGACTTCACAAAGATCCTCAGCCCAGACATATGTAGTCTTTAAGGGCATGTTCCATCTTGCAGAAACATCTTTTATGGTCAGTAAGTGGGTTTAAAGTGAGTGAATCTAACTACATTAGACTACATTAAGTACAATTTGGTTATCTATAAGTGTCTTTACACATAATCACATTTATTCCTGCAGGCAACAGCAAACTGGTATATCTTTAAACCAGGCAATGACTCATTAAGCAAACACATACTGTAGATCGTTGGCAAACTTCCATGTATAACACATTTCATAGTCAGCCACCAACACTGCTAATTAACATGAAGTTTAAGTTATATCCTCACATGGACATTTGAATCACTTTAAAACTATTTTTGAATTAACACAAAACACAGAGGCTTTGTTTCTTGAAGCTTGATTAGAAATGACTGTATTAAACCTAACCTTCTGAGTATCTAGGGCACGGACTGTCAACAGATCCAGGTTTTTCTTTTTTATGTGTCCTGTTACGTGAGATGGCCCAAAATTACTGGAACACAAGACACAAATTAAAGTTGTTTGTGTTCATTTACAAACCATGTAAATGAACACTAGATTTGATTTACTGAGAATACTAAATTTACAGTTTTACAGGAAATAAAAAAAAAACAGCACTGTCAATTCAAGAAAAAGAAATGAAACAATGATCTTTGAAAAAAGAGGCAAAAGTTAAAAGAAGCTTCTGAAAAGAGCTTACACGTCAGTCCTGAATACAGATCCTGTGTGAATGTGAATGAAGGAAATAAATAACGTGACAAAAAAAAAATCCTCCATCAGGAAATGAAGCAAAACTTTATAAAACAAAAACGGTGTTCATCTGCAAGCCCTCACCTCCATTTCCACAGAGTGAGCAGTTCATGAATGACTGTGTAAGACCATTACTCCAGTTTCCTTCACATCCAAAGTGTTGGGTCTTAATTAAAATTCTCAATCCGCCGGAAAACAGCGAGGAAATTCTTCCCTCCGTTTCTCTGCACTTTCTTTCCTTCTTCTGTACATGTACCCAAACGACTGATGATAACGTCCCCGACCTGCCAAGACAACGTTTCTCAATGTTAATTTAACAAATACACATGCGTTTATTACTATTATACTTGAGAGCCAGCCAACCAAACATTTGGACCGTCTATCTCAATTTTTCTTTTTTTCTTTAAAGCAAGAATTAACATTGTGAGACATATGCCTACTCACTTTGTTGCCAGGAGTGTTATACGAATGATACCACTCTCATATATGTAAAAAGTCCTAAAACATAATTAGCTAATCTTGGTTTATATCAAAGATTAAGGTTAAAACAGTCCACCTCCCAATCTCTGAATCTTATTAATGAACATTTAAATTGTATCTTATTAGTTTAATCTGTACAAACAAAAATGTAAACTTTTAACTTTCAAACTTTTGATTTGAGAGATGCCACGACCTTTATTATTAGTCTTTATGGTAACGCCACGCTCATTAAATGTTGATCAGAGAGTCAAGGGTGATGACTGTTCACATCACAAATCAAGTTGTAATTCTAAGGTGAGGATAATGACACAAATATGGCTGATGATGGGGCTGATAGTCTTATCATTAAACATCTAATCTAAACAATGTGCGAGCATTTCTATGTCTGAACAACTGGACTTTTTCTGCTCTTCTTTGAACAAAGATTGTACCGAGGTAAACATTTTTTTAACATCATTCGATATTGAGATAAATGTCATATTTGTTATTGTTTAAAGAGTCATTTTTGCTCCTGAGTGAAGGTTGTGGTTTTAAACTCTTCGTCATGAGCACAAAGTGACAAACACTTGACAAATAGCAAAACATTTTACAAATCTGAGGTTGATCAATTATGTTACACCTCCTCACTGTGCTTACACAATGCATAAGCATTATTAGCTCCACCAAGAAGGTATTGTTTTCATTTAGTTAGTTAGTTTTGTTAGTTAGCAGGAATACAACGAAACTTGTAGGATGCAGTATGAGTCAAGAAAGAACCTGTTAAATTTTGGAGGGGATCTGAATAAATGGGCGTATATGAGAATTTTGTTTCACTTTCTCTGCAGTGTTTCCCACAGAGTTTAATCTATGGCAGTTGTGGGGCTGCATGTGCACACGTACAAACAATATCTAACATGACAGAGATTTGCATTACATGCCACTTGCAGTTACATGCAAAAACTGAAACTATGAGGTCTGATTGTCTGCGTGGACAGTAACAACTTTGTGGACGATAGCACGAGTGAGCACGCTGCAAATAGCACTGCACACAGCTATACAATACAGCATTGGAGCAAAACACCAAGTTCTCTTTTGAAAAGTGTAAAAAAATAATAATTGTGGGTTGGATATGAAACTGTGAGGGACAAATATAACGGACTACACAGTCTGGATTGTTAAAACACTTAATCATGGTGAGATAGGGCGTTAGCCTTGGAAGAGAGGTGCTCTCAGAGTTCTCCTTGTATCTATATGTATTTTACTTTTGTTATATTGCTATCGTTGAAAATTGTGATAATTATTGATGTTTTATCACCCAGCTCTAAGTTTTTCCCACATCTCTGACATGGTATGAAATAATAATAGTATAAAAGTTTCTAGCTGCTGGTGTTATAGAGACATGTAACAGTGGTTTTAATTTTCTCATCTGACTAAGACAGTAAGAAGTGCAATTCCTAAAATATTCCTTCCTAAAAATTCTGATCATGACTTTGACCTCTTTTCCTACAAAAGATTAACAAATGCTGTTGTCATGACCAGTAAACAGAGCAATGGAGAGCTCCACGTTAACATACCAGTTCTTCATCAGACATGCGTGTAAACAGTGGATGTTCAGTGAAGTGCTTCACCATCCAGAGGTGAACTTCCTCCACATCTGTGATTGTGTACACCAAACCCTGACAAGAACACAAACACAGGGAGGTTAGTATCACACACTTCTGGGAATAAATAAGACCTGTCTAGACCTGTCTACACATCAGGTTATCAATCACAAAACAAACTCATTACTCTGATAAAGTAAACTAAATACAAACTTTAATTATCTTAACATTTTCGACCATTAGCAGCTGCAGAGTGAGGAGAGCAATGGTCCGAGCCAAAAGGATAAAAATAAACTACAGGCAGCACAGAGGTTAATCACCTGTGTCATGACAGTTTACTTTGCAGGCTGGACAGATAACGTTACTAGAACAAGGGTTTCTTAGAAAAAACTGCAATGGCACAGATTTCCACACTAGTGCATGTTGGCGCATATGATTTTTTTTTCTTTTTCAGAGAAGCCAGAATGAGTCTGTGTGTTGTCTGCACAAATAAACATTAATATTTTACCACTTCAGGTTTAGTTTCAATCAGAACACTCTTGATACTAGTGCAGTGGCCTGTTTGGAATGGGCTGTTTGTTTGCTGGGTGGTGATGCTCGTTGCAGCTTTCTTCTCTGAAACTGTTACTAAGTGACCTGCAGCAATTAAATGACCAGCTGCTGGACTCAGCCCACCAAACTCTGAAGCTGTATCACCGCTGCTCCACAAAGAGCAGTTCATCTGTTTATTCAAAGTTCAGTGAAGCTCGACTCACACTGAGAATCAATTGATGTGAACACATTATTTGCGTTGATGAGTCCGAGCAGTGTTTCAACAGGTCGTCTGTCTATGCAAAGTTTATTAATACTGAACATATCGTGTCACAACCAATTCATTGGGCCATTAACAATTCACATGCCAAGTGTGAAGGCCATGAGTTGAATGGTTCTTGAGATATGTGAGCTACAGACAAACAGATTTCTGGAATTATATAGATATAAAGTACTCACTAATAAACAATTCACTCAGGTTGATATGAATGAGTTTCGATAAATACAGCTTTTGACTGCCGTTATGGCTGCGTTTCAAAGCTGAAGGCGGTTGTAGAACACACAAGCAAGCACACACACACAAACACAGAGCAAAAACGATACAAACTCATTCACACACAAGCCCTCCATTGTTTTCCACCACTTCCATCAGCAGTGGGACACTCAAGTTGTTTTCAAGTGTCCCACTGCTGCTCTGACAGCTCTGACAGGCCGGAGCAGGGCGTGTTCAGACATCAGCCAGCTGCAGGCCACCGCGCTCACTTCATTTTACTCCAGTAAATTCATGGATTTCTGCGCGCTGCGATCAACCAATGAAATGATGATGAAACTGGCAATCTGTTGCACAAGTATTAAGTCAGTTTTTAGATTTTTCTGTTCTATTTAATCAATGAATTGAATACAATTCTCTTTCATTGTGCTGAAGTAATGGTAAGATGATATTGATTGAACCTGCAAATATGGAAAAACTCATAATGGGATGGGAACTCAAGAATCTTAAAGCATAATCTTGTTGATATTGTTTTATTTTGTCAACAAACAACTTGATCCTTCTTAGTAATGCGTAGCCATTAATACTCACTTAGGCACCAAATGTGCTTTGGTCTGCTGCTTAAAGGTTCAGTGTGTAGAATTTAGTGACATCTAGAGGTGAAGTGTCATGTTGCAGCTGAATACTCCTAACCTGTATATGCGTTTTGCAATTAAATATCAGCCTTGCGATTTTTCAGAGGTGAGGTAACATCCTCTAACTGCTTATTTCGTCCATTGACAGCCCCAATCCTTACACCACTATACGCAGAGTTTCTGCAGGTTGCAACAAGTTAAATATAAGAGGTGTTAAGACGATTAGAAATTCAATCTAAGACCTATGTACAAGAGCTATAAATGATTATGAGAGTCTCAGAATTACCAAACGTGATGTGTTTGAGTCAGCAAAACACTTTGAATTTCAGGGGTAAACAGCATTGCATCCAAATGCAACACAACCCTCCATAGGCATAGTGCTGAGTAGATAATGAGTGACTTTTCTTTTTTTAAGTGAACTATCCCTTTCAGTATTAGTGATAAAGAACTATTATATATACTAAAGTTCAGACTATGTACTAAGGACATTTCTGTAGGAAAATGTTTTTTTAAGCACAATGTAGAGCTTTTAAAGACCCAGCAGAATCCCTGATACAACATAAACCTCATATCTCAGAAGCTGAAACAATAAATTACACAACAAAAGTTGATCAAAATTTTCATACAGTATTGTTGATTGACTATTTCAGCACTAGTTGCAGCGTGTCTTACTCATATACATACCCCGACTCTCAGTGTGTAGGCATACTCTGCCAATAACGTGGGACTGATGATCCTCCACTTGTGCTTGGTCTTCTTAAAGTGAGGGTCAGGGAAGAGGAAGAACATCTTACTGAGCTGGAAAGAAAGAAAGAGTTCTTTTATCCGAGTTGTTCAAAATTTAACATTGTATTTTTTTTAAATCTACTTTGATACTGTGGCTCTCAAATGTATAAATGTCATCACTTAAATGTGACCCTCATAATATTTTATGGTTGGCTGTTAAGCACCGTGGAGTGTGAGACTGGAATTTCCCTCCTTGATTTTTTCCCCCCACAAAGTTCCCCAGGTCTTTGACAAGTGTAGGCTCCATTGAAATTAGTCTGGCTGATACATTAAAACATTTCCAGTGACTTATTAGTTTAAATAAATAATGTCAGGTAAAGACAGAGACAGCAGCCTCAGGGGCCACATCAGTGCTGATGGAAAAAACCTTAATACTTGTTATTTTAGGTTTGCAAAACATACTAAGAATAAGAAAAAGAAAAAGAAGGGTAAAAAAACAATATCAGATCTGTAAAATATGCTGTTTCAATACATCATCATGCTTGTGAGAAGGGATTGTAGTTTTAGCTAGTCTGGGTGGTCGACAGTTCTCCACTTTGACAAAATCTGGCTGGTGAAAAGGAAGTAACATTAAAGCTGCAGCTGAATAAGTATTCACCTCTGGTATTTTAATATAAGTTGTTTAATATAAGTGATGCAGTTTATGAATGCATGAAAGTATAGCACCTTAATGCAAACTCAAGCCAGAGCTTTTTTTTCCTCTCAACCAATTCAAATCTTGGCATGATGGCAAGGACCCTATCATTATATTATGTCAAGCGGCGTATCAAAAATAAATTAAAAAACGTGTTTTAATATGAAACACCTCCATAATTTGTACTCCATAAAAGTGGCAGCGTTACAGCCATTAATGTCCTGTGTTCATTTCCTAGTTTAAAATCACCCAGGGCGTTTGAGGTGAATTTTTTTTATCCAGTGTACCTAAATTAACCCTGGTACACTAAGCCCACTGTGTAATGTAATGCGAGTTTCGACAAGTCATAGATTACCGCAGCTAATTGGAACGGATAAATGTCGTCTTACATCGCTCCATACTCAGCTGATGCGATGCATTGCGTGTCAGTCAATGACTCCATTGTTGTGAAATACTAGATTCATGGAACAATCTGTATAAATTAATTTTAACATGAGGAAAGTATAACTACTATAACTATTAATGCAGCAATAACACTATAGTTTTACTACATTTACAATTGCTCTTCATAACTTTGTATTACTCCATCTGCTCCACATGCTACAAACCTAACAAGCCTGTAGTTAGAAACATGGTTCCAAAGTGTGAGGCATGTTAACTACTGGACGGGTGAAGTCAATTCTTTAGTTTTTATTGTGCAATGAAAATACATCCAGGCATTTACATGTAGAAGTGATAAATAACATGAGCTTTAGCCCCTTTTGTATCATACTGCTTTATTTCTGCTTAGAGAAAATAATGCAACAGATTGTCTTAAGGTAAATATTTGTTTTCATAACCCTTACTTAAAATAGAGGCATAAACACTGGACACTGTGCAATAGCCTCAACACAACTTTTTTAATAACTTGTCAATTGTTTACTTTTTTTAACCTGTGTGCTGCTACTGTCTTTTTTACTATTTGTTTCTTTTTATTATTTGTTTCATTTCCTGTAATGCTGCTGGAATTTTAATTTCCCTGACGGAGTCTTCCCAAAGGGATCAATAAAGTTCTATCTAATCTAATCTCTAGTCTAATCTAAAGCCTGTGACCCGTTGCCGTCACCAAACTGTAGCATTCTTCATTTGTGATGCTTTTACAGCAGCCTATTTCCGTTTCAGGTCTTTGTTACATTGTTTACATTTGATCATGTGAGGTTTGGTTTCACATTGCAATTTAGGGAGCGCACTTAAAGGGATAGTTCACAGAAAAATGAAAAGTGACTCATTATCTACCCACTATACCGATGGTCCACAAAACACTTCTGGAGTCTCGGGGTAAACAGTGTTGCCCTCCATCGGCATAGTGGTGAGTAGATAATGAGGTCATTTTCAATTTTAAAGATGTAAGACATGCATACGTCCTGTCGCCATCATCTATGTCAGCTGGGTCTACATATACTCAACATTAATTTGTTGAAGGTTGCAATCCGTGGATAATTGACTGAGAAAATGAAAATGAATGACCTAGCTCATTGTTATGGTATTGCTGATGAGTTTGGAAATATTTCTCCGACAATTGGCAGACAAAAAGTCTCTGTACATTTTTGAATTCACTCTGCTGCAGCCGTCAAGGTTTTCTATTTACAATAAAGATTAGTGAGCATGTTCTGGAAGTAGCAATGAAATCCCAAGCCATAACACCACCTTCACTATGCTTCACAGGTCCATTTAATTCCTGGCATTAACCGTCGTTTCAACTGATCCAATCAGACGTGAACAGCTGTAAATTATGGCAGTTCATACCTGCCATTAGAGTCTCCAGTGACCACTCACTTCCCCACACTATATGCAATCATTTCTGTTCATGAAAATATTGTTTTTAGCCAGAGTATGACAAGGGATCAGTTGTGTTTTGGTGTGAGTGTGTGAGAGGGGGAGAGAGAGAGGGGCAAGGGGAAGCTGAGCAAATGAATGTGCTGTGCACAGCTGATCAATGCAATTAGATTTTACAAATTTATAATAGTAACAAGAAAACATAGAAAATCAATATGTGGTAGTCAATATTGATATTGTGGAAAAGTGGGAAAATATTTTTGGTCCATTATTAAATGCAGGTCAGAGTATGTCCGCTGAGTGGGTGGTCCTTCAATGTGGCCCTGTACAAATTCCCCTTCACACTGCTAAAAGAACATGGTCGACTGTGTCCCAGACCACCTCCAAATGTGGTTTGAGTGGTCAAATCTCAAATACGCCCTTAATGTTTCCTGGGTGCTCACGACTGGACTCAGCACTCTCTGCTTCTCATTGGATCACCCGACCATGAACAGATCCTTTCTTTCCACACACTTTAACCTTTCTCAGCCACTTTGACCTTTCCATTCCAGAGATTTTACAGTTTATCTCTGTACTTAATTCCAATCTGGCTGTCTCATTCTTACTGAAGATGAATGGTTTGCATCTTGTGGTCTATCCTTATATTTCTGTTTTCAAAGTCCTCTTGGAACCGTGGTTTGTGATACCTTTCCCCTTGTTGTCTGAAGGCTGGTGGGGATGTCACTAACTATTATTATTTCCTGCTGTTGTGGTCCTTGGACGACCACGTGTGTTGCTTGGTTAAATAGTAGTTCCTTTCTTTTTGCAGGACATAACAGATTGTTGTAGTGGTGAAAAATCAAAAAATCAAAAACTGAAATATTGCATTGTTTTCAGACCTTTCAACCCATCCTTCGAGGAGATTTCAGCTTTGAGTAATCTTGAGTGTGATGGGAAAAGCTTTGTACTCCTGGATTTTAATAATTTTCTTCCATTCCTCTGTGCAGATCCTCTCAAGCTCTATCTGGGTGGATGGGGACCGTTGGTGGACACCTATTTTTAGGTCTTTCCAGAGAAGATCGATTGGGTTCAAGTCAGGCATCTGGTTGGGCCCCTCAAGGACTTTCACAGATTTTCCCATTGTGTTGGCTGTGTATTTGGGGGGTCATTGTCCTGTTGTGAGATGGCCCTTCAACCCAGTGTGAGGACTGAGTGCTCTAGACCATGTTTTCAATGTTAGTGTTTCTATACGTTTTTCTGTTCACCTCCACAGCAGGATGCTATCACCCCCATGCTTCCCCGTTGGGATGTTATTGGGCAAGTGCCAGAAGATGAGCGATGCCTGGTTTCCTCCAGTCAAGACAATCAGAGTCCTGGTTATTCCAAACCTCATTCCATTTAAAAATGATGTTGACTCATGGGAAACTTCAATGCTGCAGAATGTTTCAGTAGCCTTTGCCACATTTATGCCTCAAGTGTTCTGTCAGAGTTCAGTGTCTGAGCTTTTCAGGAGACCTTAAACCTTAAATAGACAGATGCCTTTCAAAACATGTCGAATCAATTGAATTTAGAAAAGGTTGAATTCAATTGACGAGTAAAAACATCTCAAAGAAGATCAAGAGAAATGGGAGGCACCTGAGCTAAATTAAATCGACCCATGTCAGTATAATTTAGTTAATACCATGCGTGGGCTCCAGGCTGCTAGAATATACTATATAGCATTAAAACAGATAAACTACAAGCTAAGCTGTCAAACCTGGACATTTTTCTGTACGTGATGGACTTCACTACATGTTTTGACAGACTGCTTGTGTTTCTGTCTTTAAAGCATTTACTCTTTCTACTCTAGTCTTAGCATTAACCAAGCTTTTGAACATTTAATCCTTTCTGCCTTTTCCACAAACCGAAGGGTCTGTCTGTCTGTGTGTGTGTGTGTGTGTGTGTGTGTGTGTGTGTGTGTGTGTGTGTGTGTGTGTGTGTGTGTGTATTGGGAATAGCAAAAAAACGGATCAAGCTAGCATACTTCCACACCCACCATGTGTGATAATCAAAAGCATGGATAATCATGCTAGCGTAACAGAATCAGAGGCATGACATGTAAGACATGTGTGTCTCTCACGCCCTATCAACTCTCCCTATTACACAAACTCCAGCTATGTAACTAGTGCAGAATAAAGGAGCAATAGAAGAAGAGAAGAACCATAATGTTGGAGCTTCTTGATTCTACAGTATTTAATACTTGAGTCCCATGGTCATAATAAAATAGCTTTCTGTACCCATCCTTATATCCCACTTACTGCTCTAATGTGACGGTTTGTGATGATGCTACTTGCATCTGATTTTCCAGGTTCGGGTCAGTCTTAAGTGGAACTCAATCTTTGTAACAGCATGTTTTTTAAAAGACAGGATCACATCAGTTTGTCTAAATAGACCCAAACTTAAGTGATATCTCCTTGGAATAGTAAAATTCTCAGGACTGTTTATAGAACTCCAACAGATGGAGGTTTTTGTTGTTTTGCAACTCAATGATTTCTTGTTGAAACCTCTCACTAAAAGCCTAAAGGAGTTTTGCTAACTCACCCCTGTTTTATTGGGGTGTCATACCAGGTTTTTTTATTCTTGCAGATAATCAAAATTCACAGTATTACTCCTTTGCAGTTGCACTTGCCACAGCACGCATGGCTGGCAAAGACAGCAATTCCCATCTCATATCAAGCTTGGAGGTAATTCCACACAAAAACTACTGGTTGGTGGTATTTATCATATCTGTTTTTTCATCACAGGCCAGAGAGAAATATTTGTGCCATATCAGTTATTTCCTTTGTCAGGTTTGAGCAACTCCGCAGCAGCAATAAAGCTATTTTACAGATTCTACATGAGGTTTTAGCCTCTTGGCTATTAGATTACTTACCGCAAAACTTGCATGCAAAGAAGGCTGCGGTCTTGTGAGAGCTACTTGTTGTGCACCCAAACTCTGACAATGACCGTTAAATCTATCCAAGTGTATCTGTCCCTACAACTCTTCCAGTTTAGCTTGTTTTGAGCCATTATGATGCTTTGGCCTTTTTCATCACTTAGTAAGTTTGACATTCCAGATCTACACGTGACAGCTACGTGTGTGTCTCATTCACCCCGACTGGGACCTGACAGGCAAACAGCCTGAAGGGACCACCCTGTAGGACACGTTAGTCTACTAGATTGTTATTTTCTTTTATCAAAGGAAAAAAAAATCATGGCTGTCATGAGGATTTTTATGTATTTCTGAGTGGCTTTTGGGACCAGATCAAACAGTCCTGTTGGCTGCACACACCCGCTCCTGCTATAGTGAGTACATAAAGGTTTAATTAACCCAATTATTTCTAGTATCTAATAAGCAGACACAGTTTTGGTTTTATTTTCCACGATGTCGCATTGAGATTTCTGACACTGTCCAAATGGATAGAGGTGATTGGAATTTGTGTCCATGGATAATTTCAGAGTAATCTTTGGTTTACTCAGTGTAACAAGGTCTCTAATGTTATAATGACATGGTGTGTATAGAGGCTTTGTAGAAATGCATCTGTATGTGGTGTGGTGCACTAAACCTTTGTCAAAGAAACCATGTCTCTCCAACACTTCCCTAAATGAACCACAATGAGTTGAGTATCAGACCTGACTATCAGTGGGCATTAATCTTCACAACCAAATACAGAAATCAGTAACTTAATGTCTTGGATTAGTAAAACAATCTATACAGCTCTGGATAGATTTCCAGTTTCTCTATAGTCTTACAGATGAAGTCAGCTGTATAGTCTACTGGTCTGTTAGTATTTAGGAATCATTCATTCTGATTGGGTGGAGCGTGGATTCACTTCAAGTGACTGGACAGGCAGGTGCTGTAAACAAATATTGTAATATTAAACCAAAGGTAGAGGTAGAGTTTGGAAACAATGTAACCTAAAATAGTTTAAGTTTAATCGCTTCATGAGAACCATGTGTATTGCTTTTATATTAAAAAGTGTATGTATCTGGATGTAACAAATCAATTAACAGAGGCAGAAGAGAGTGCATTAGAAATTACATTAGCCAGATGATGATAGTGTATGATTAGATTCAGTGTTTAAATTGTATAAAGCATTTTAAGGAAAATATCAAATACATTTTAAATTTAAAAAGAAAAAAAAAAAGAAAAGCTAAGACGTCCTAGTGTGTTTATGTGAAATTATTGGGACTTGAAAAGATTGAATTTGAAATGAGTTTTCTCAAAAAGATAATTATTTATCATATTGTTATTGTTTTCTTTGGCAACAAGTTGTTAGTAACTGGAACTGGAACACAAGATTTGATGAATCATAATAAATCCTGTGATCTCAAGATCATAACGCATCTCCTGCCCCAGGAGCCAATCAGGATAACCTTTCCTGTCAGCAGCAAACACCCAGATGCAGACCTACCTGTCCTTTAGTGAAGAAGTTGGGCAGATACTTCATTGCATTGCTGCGAAGGCAGGCGATGTTCTGGTAGCTCCCTGGTTCAGCAGCACGTAGGGATTTGATACGATCCTGAACATAATCCGAAACTTTGACCCGGATCTCCAGGCCCAGGATGAGATTCTCTGGAAAAAGTGGAGATAACTCCACTGAGGTAAAGTAAAACATGGACAAGAGAAACCATGAGACACGAATATGGTGGATGTGAAGAGAATGTAGAGCAAAACTATTGTCCTGTTCAGACCTGGTATTAACATCCGTCCTGAGAGATCTGATAACAAGTGACATCTCCAAGTTTGTCACTCAGGACGGATGTTAGCACCAGGGCGTAACAGGATCTGAGACGCACTGCAGCTGGTCAGATCAGAGACATATCTACCTAATAGACCTCCATATCCACATCCAATGTCTGCAAACTCCACCCGGGGGGTCTCTCTCTCAGGCTGGTCTCCAGTGAAGACTTGTGGATACAGCGTGGACCAGTCCATTTCCTCTGGACACACAGGACTGAGGAGGACAGGGGACAAAACAGTGAAGAAACACAAACAGTCCCCGGGACATCTTTTTTTACAGTGGGGGTGTGGAAAGAGAAATGTAGAAAGTAGCTGTATTATAAGAGAGTGAAGTTAGGAATGGATACAAACTTCTTACACATATAAAAGCTGATCAAACCTTCTGAGGGTGTTTGTGTTGCTGCCATTTCTTCTACATGTATAAATAATCAGCAGGAGCAGACAGAGGTAAACAGTGTGGCTGTATGAAGACACAGAGTATGAGTGTTGGTATTAAAGCGTTAAAGTGAGACACGTGGACGTCACTCACTAGTCAAACGAGTGATGAGCCATAGGGTTCGAATGGGCTCGCTGCCTGTAGAACTTCTTCTGAGGCATTGACGAACTCATGGTGGAGTCACACGATTCAAACGGCACTCACGACAATATCCACCCCGTCACCTTAATGCGAGATAAACACAGGGCCGTGTTTCCACGCGAGTTGTTACTAGTTTACTTTCCCTGCATGTGAGAAGGTCGCGGCGTGATGTCGTCATCACTTAGCGTCTTCACTGTGGGGTTGGGGGGGGGGGGTTGCCAGGTTTGGTCCATCCTCCTCTCTGGTTCGTTTACTGTGCAGAGGTGGACATTGTTCATGATTGAGTGTGATCACACAAAGTTTCCGAACAGTATCCGGAGATGTTCTTAAACTTTCAAAAATAAAAATAGACTCTTACACTTATGTAGTTTAAACTGCCCTTGTTACTTATTACTGATAAAGAACAGTTTTTTTTCTTACCTCAATATAGTGTAGCCTAAGTTACCCCCCACCCCACCCCCCCTTTTTGTGTTTATATGTAACTCTGTATATGCACTTAAGTGTGTATATACTGTATGTATGAATAGCTACTTTGTGTATACTGAGTAATTTCTC